GCATTTGATTGAACAACAACTGCATCGTTCTCTATCAAGCCCTATCAGCTGTTATCATTTCCTGTCACCCGCCGTCGCCTTCTCCACCTTCCCCTTGATATCATTTGCTGAAATCAACGCCTAACTGATGCTGTGTCCCGCGTTATGAGTATGTTGTCCTTTCCACTCTAACTCCCCTTATCAGCAGCTAGCAGTTCTTGTCACCGACATATTCCTGTGCCACAACCTATATCATACCTTGAAAAAACGCCCCAGTGTTCCAGTCGGACCGTCCCTCTGCTTCCTTCTCTTGCGCATGCTCAGATCGGGCTGAGCACGCGCAGGGGAAGGAAGCAGAGGGGGGGGGCACTGGGCGTCCCCATAACCCACCCCACCATGGCCCGTCCGCACGAGCCACGTCGAGCTGGCTACGCAGATCTCGTGCAATGGCTCGGAGCGTACCGAATGGTTGTCTTATATAGCGGAGGCCGATATCACGATCAAAACATTGGATTGATACTTCCGCACCAATCGGTTTCCGGGGTTTTTGTCAGGCGGTCGTTTTTCTCTCCCGTTAACAACAGGGCCCGCCGGCCGTCGAAGCATTTGCGGAACGGACAAAGCCATATCATAACTTACATACTTACATACATACATACAGACGACAAAACCGACACATAGCAAAACTTCTGCTTTATAGAATAGAAGGATTGAGAACGACTACTGTTGGTAGTGCGCTTTTCCAATCAGTTTGCGTTCAACATTCTTCCGTTTACTGTTTTCAATCTGTCTTCCAGCGGAGCCATCCTCAGAGCTGAGCGTTCCTTTTTCTTTATTTTTTGCTACGAAATGAATGCTGGACGCCTTTTAATGTCCGACTGATTCCTCAGATGTTCCTCGAATGTTCTTGTTATGTCGTTCATCATCCAGCACTTTTTCATGTGAACTTTCAGAAAACTGATGGGTGCCCTTTCAAAATTCGACCAGGTGCGGCTGCTGGCTTCGACGCTCACCCTCAAGCAGTACGGACCTGGTCTCTGCGGTCTTGCTGCGTTTTTCGCTGTCATCAAATGGTACAGCAAGGCGGCCAAGTGAGTCGTATGACAACTTTGTTAGCGAAGACAAATATACATACAAATAATAATGAATACGAATCTTTACAAAGTTAAACTGCATGTAGCAATCCATACAGGGGGGGGGGGGGGGGCAAACAAGTCAACTTTGGCGCGAGTCCACATATCAGTGCGAAGTTTTCGCACCGAAGCAGTACAAAGGGAAGTGGATGGGGCGAGTACCAGGGAGGCAGATATTACAAGATGTTCCCTCCGATACGCAGGAGCAGGCTGCCTCTCGCATTCACCTTCATGTAATAACCAAAATATGATGTCATCTCCAATTGGGGCAGGCCTGACTGGAAAAGGCCTCTAAAAATTCACGTCACCTCCGAATAGCTGCGAAACTACTTGGAGTCACCCACGGATAGCTACCTGGAGACCAGTACTCTTGATCTGCAAGACCGCCATCAGACGTCGAGGTAAAGGCTCGGCGACAACGTCGCTACGGTCCAGGATATCATCTTCACCGCAGTCGCCAAGGCGCGTGTTGGTGCTGTGGACCGGATGTTCCTGGAATGTGAAGACGGATATTTTCTTCGTGGACCCCGGACTGAAGGTGAGCGCTGACGATTACATTGACCAACTCGTGAAGAATATCCTGCCTTCATGTCATCGCCTGTACCTTCTTGGAAACTTCGTACTGCTACAGGATTGGGTGCCTCCACACGGAATCGAAGGGCGTTGGAAAAACTCTCGCCTACTTGGAATGGAAGGGCGTTGAGTACCTGAAGAAGACGGAATATCTAAGTGTGTCACCTGACCTAAACCCCCTCGATTACCGGGTCCGAGCGGAGCTCAACAGGGTGGTCTACAGTGGCGGAGAAATCAACGACCTCGCTGAACTCAGGCACCGAATCACGGTCGCGTGGCAGAATCTCTCGATGGCGTTCGTCCAGAAGGCTGGGAGTATCGTGATAGTGTACAATGCGTTGTTGAATAGTGAGGAATGAATTTGAATGGTGGTGGAAATGTCCCATCAGTATTTGATTGAGTGTAACTTATAGCGCCCTGAAAGTCAAGGAAGAAAAGTGACTTTTTCCGCCCCCTCCCCTGTATCCATCGCTAAATGTGTCTTCTAGTCTTGCGACATCATCGCAAATTTGAGTCTACCCAACTCTTATCCAGAGCCTCGCGATCAAGGGCCATCGTAACGAAAAGCGGTCGGCCTTCTTCGAAGGACAGAGCCCATGTGGATGGAGCATTTATCAAGAAACTCTGGCGTATACTGAAGATTATCGTTCCTAGCCCATTCAGCGCAGAGGTACAATATCCGTGACGCCTCTATGAATACATATAAAGCTGCTTTATTACAGATGTTCTACATGCTATTGGTGGCAGTATCACTTCTTTGTAGAACTTATGCTGACCTCTACATGATCATCACTGCTACCGGAATTGAGGCGTGGGTCGTTAAAAGTGATTCCAGAAGATTGAGCGAGACAAATTGACTCAATTTCAGATCTATAATCTCTCGCGATAAGCTGCAGTTTCTGATGAAAGTGGTGCAATACGGAATGGCTATGCCAGCAATTTCTGTGACGAACGCCATTCTCAAGGCGAGATGCTAATCGGCATTACTATCGAGACTTTTTGTAGCGAAATAAGGGATTTAACTCATTTCTGATCATCCTAGATTGGTCAGTGAGAGGAAGGCGCGCTAAAGGCAGTTGGCACGATAAATCCCTAAGATGAATAGGATTAATACGCCTGGCAAGACGGAATTCCGCGCCCCTGAGCAGGCGCTGTGTAGCGCGGAAGGTGCCCTTATAAGGCCCTATCAAGCTGCAACATACCGACCCGGACGCCCACCGCACCGCCCGCCCACAAATGGACGACCGTACCTGATGCTCGTATTGCTTCATTTGCGAAGTAAAATATGAAGCGAAGGGATTGATATGAAGCGGCTGCGGTGCTGCATGGATATATGAGTACATACGTGCAGCCGTATCTACCGTAGCGGTTATTGGCACGATGCCTACGGGAAACTCGTCCGAAATTGCTTTCCTGAGTCATGAAGAGTGAAGGCTTTTCTTCGCAGGTTTTTGACCGTTTCACTTCGTTTTTTCGCCATTTTCCCACTATATGTACTGCACTCTGCTTGCATTTTAGACCGAGTACCAAATTATCGTGCAAACTGCCTTTAAGGGATAGCATGTTATTAAACAAACGTTGAAATAAGCCTCACTAATGTTTAGCCTTTTTGTAAAGACCTGTAAGCTCCTGTGGAGCTACGAAATGGTACCATTCCATTTCGTATGGTATACAGTACATGCCCTGCCACTGGGGAAAATTTGTGCAAAAACGACATATGGCCACCCCCACCTCCAAATCTTCCCGTCTGGTGCCTCCCTTCCCCACCCCATCCTACCGATCATCTCCCCGTACCTTCCCAACTTCCTATCACTTTTTCTCATTTTTTTTCTATAATCTCTCCACTTTTATAATAAAGCTATCGAGAGGGAGGGGGTGGGGGCGGGGGTACAGCGCACTTGAAACAAGAATACCGAAAAAAGCACACAACCGAAAACATTCTTTATTAAACCTAATACGACTCCCTCCTTCCAGCGACCAAGTACGATCCCCACCGTCCCGACGTGCACTGATACTGTACTACGACTATAACAGTCCGGGCTAGCAGAACATCTAAGACTTTCGAAATCCTGAACGACAACTCTTTATTTCATTATTACAATTAAGTAAAATAGTACCCACTCTGAGGAAATGAGCAGCTCAAACGCCAGACCTGCAGGCTAACCAGCGAAAATTTATTGCAGTTCTCTGCTACAAATCCTTTCTTGCTCGCTCATATTTAGGCTTGTTACGACAATGAAGTTGCCACGGTTTTAGCAGCAGGATTTCAGCAACTTTGCTATTGTGGTAAGACAGAAATGGGCGAGGAGGGCAGAATAACTGGTGAGCAAGTGAGGATCTGACGAACTGCTGAGATCGCACCTATTTTTTCCTTTGCTAGCTTATATTTCTGATTTTAAGGCTGCTCGCCTCCACCGATTACCTACTTCTAGGATATTACGCAAATAAGTAGGATCACCCCATCCACCGATCCCGATCACACCATCCACGAGTCTCAGTCTCAAATTTGAAGATACTCATACTCTCCAATCGGTCACAGTCCATTTCTTTCGCCCCACAGCAGTCAAAGCCGTACAACATGAAAGAAAGCAGGGCGAAAATGCTTCGCAGGACTTCTCAAAACTGCTTGATGTACTGGCGAATTCACAATGTGCTGCGTCTAGAGCGCTTGTTCTGTGGTGAAATTTCAATCAGTTGATTACTTCAATACGCTAAACAATTTTTTTCAATTTTTGTTTTCGGAAGTCAGACCAAATTTTTCTCCTTTCCAGAATCACAATCAGTCAGCTTTTAGAAGCGGTCGTGCTTTTCAAGGTTAGAGCACCATGCGGTCGCTGGTTTGAAATTTCTAATTTTCAGTTTGGAATCAGCGAGATGAAGCTCCGGTTTCGTGAACGACTAACCAAACATCTCTACAGCCAGTATCTGAAGTAAGGACCTTTCCACCGTGTGTGCTTCATCACATTGTAATAGAAGGTTTGAAGGGGTTTCACCTTCTACAAGATGTCAAATCTGGACAATCGAATCCAAAACGCCGATCAACTTCTTACCCAGGATGTCGACAAATTTTGTGACGGGCTTGTGGAGCTCTATTCAAACCTCACTAAGGTCTCTTTTTTATTTCTATTTTTTTCCTTTTATTAACTGACATTTTCTTTTTCTCTTCTACTGCCCACTATCTTGCATCTATCGAGAATAAGTATATGTAGTGCTAAATCCAGTACGGATATGTGTGTGTCCTCTGAAAAGCAGCACTTGTAGCCTATCGTCGACGTGTTACTTTATGTATCCCGTATTGGAAGTGCACTGGGATGGAGCGCTCCAGTGATACTTTTCTCCTACCTTCTTGGATCAGGCGTGTTCCTCACGTATCTTAGGAGGCCGGTGAGTTGTCTGTTCTTCCTAGTCTTTTTATGGCACCTTTTTGCCGTCTCAACAGAGCTCACTGGCAGGAGATGCAGTAGCGCTCAAAAACATGGGAGTTTCTCTCCCTTTTGTTCCAGCTAGCCGCTTTTCAAAATTAATACAGTAATGTAGAATCACAATGGAAGAAAACCATGTAGAACCCCTTTCTCCGAAAATTGGAATAGTGATCAGTAAAATGCGAATTGTCTCTAAAGTGGCTTATCAAACTCTGGAAACATCTTGCTTCTCAAATGGGATTTTTCTGACCGCTTCTGCACCCAGCGCTCATATATCAAGTACAAGAGGATCATGCTGTAGGATCAGGAGGGTCGAGTTAATAGCAAAGAATGATAATCTTTGGACCTGCAAAATACGCACTCCATAAGTTTGTGAATTATCTCTAGCTGCGCCCTTCTTTGGAGGGGCTCCACCCACACTTTAAAGGTACCCACCGTCATTGCCTCTGCTGACTCTCTCACCCATCATTGTCTTTTCTGTCATACGCGCGCCGAATGTCTTTGCGCATCATTCATAGCATGTTCGGGAATGTTGGCAACCAACGGGGTGTTATTTGGAACCTTCCAACTTCTGTTTTTTTTTCTCTACAAAGTCACATTGCACCTAGCAATCCACATTCAACGCACAATCCACAGTATTTTTTTCGCGGAATGCATCTTCTACCGAAATACTTCGAAGGGAGCGTGGAGTCGTGCGCCTAGGTCCCGGTTGCCGCACACCGGTCTACTCGAAGGAAGTTCTGCCATGTTGCAGAAAGTGTCAAGTGGTGACAGGCCGAGTCTATTTCCATCAAAACTAGCCACTACGGGAGTTCGTTGTCTCTGTGTTTGAAAAAAGTTCTGTTTTGAGTTGATTCAAAATTGAAACGTAAAAAACCAAAAGTTTAATTGAGAAATGTTGAAAAATGATTGAATGAGCAACATACCAAACCGGCTGTATAATTGCAGATCGGTCGACTCACGGTGCAGGAACAGGCACTCGAGGGCGAATTCAGATTTGTTAACTCTCGCCTCATAATGAACAGTGAAGAGGTCGCATTCTATCAGGCAAGTATTTTTACCGAAGCGCAAGTTTGAAGGCGTGTGTCTCCTTTACTCCTAGGTTTGTTATTGTGTTAGGCTTCACAGTGATTGGTAAGGGCGCTGCTGCCATCAACTTGCAGTTACACTCCATATCCAAAAGACGAGCTGGGCGTGGCCGCGCTCTTCATTTGAATGGGCCGCAGCTGCGCTTTTGATGGGAGCTTGCCGTTTCATGACAATTCTGTTCAAGTCTATCTCCAGAACGACGCAGTATGACACTTGTCTCTTATGAAAACATTCCACGAAAAATGCACCGTTCAAATGGGGTATTCGGCCACACTCTCTCCATCTACGGGACAAGAACCTGAAGAAGGGAAGGGCGGTATCTATCACAAGCTTCCGCTGAATAGGCAATGGTCTTGAGGTTTTTTTCGAAAGAAACCTAGGAACAGGTGGGAAACACGCTGTGGAAACTACACATTGGATTGATCTGGGCAAGGGAGGAATTTCACGACTCGGTTGAGCGCAGAGTCTGTCTTTACGGGCTCGTGAAGAGAATGCTCCCAATTCAGGGCAATGACCGCGAAAGAACGACGCTCCTAGGCTCCTTCGCAAACTTGGTCAGTCACCTGAGGAAGGTGATCCTGTTCAGGTAGCTGTTCACTTACTTTGTTCATATCTACAGTAACACTCATCGAAAAACTTTGACTACGTTCCAGGTTTTCCATAGGATTCGTAGACAATATCGTTGCTAAGTACGCGGCTACTGTAATTGGATGGTATGCTGTTGGACGACCATTCTTCGATCATAAAAACGAATTTATCAACGGGTTAAACAGAAACCAGCTCATCCAGGTAAGTGTTCTTATCAAAAGGAATAAGCTGAAGGTAATGAAACTCTTCCGCTTTCTCCGTACAGGAATACTACAACTCTGGGCGAATGATGTTAAAACTAGCAGAAGCGCTCGGACGTTTGGCTCTGGCGGGTCGAGAATTGACGCGACTCTCCGGGTTCACCACAAGAGTGGACACTCTATTGAATGTCCTCAATGATTTGACCAGTGGTAAGGTGACGGTTTCCTTTCCCTGGTTAGGCTTCGTTTCGTAAGAATGTAGCTGCGTAGCTTTCGAAGGAATTGAGTAACTTTTCAGGGTCATACGAACGAACTATGATAACTGATAATAATAGCGAGATGAACGGTCTTGTTAAAAATTGCTTAAGGCCTGGAGCAGGTTGGGAAAGAAGCCTATTATTTTGAGAAATCTGAAATGAGGTTTGGACAGCGGGTTTGCTCTTTTAGGCGAGCTTATAATTCGTGATAATGTGATCCGATTCGAGGGGGTTCCCCTTGTCACGCCTAATGGTGACGTCTTGATCGATAGGCTGGACTTCGAGGTTTTTTGTTTTTTTCAACGTTTTTTTGTTCAAGAAAGTTTAAGTTAAAGGAAGCATCACATGATTGACATTTTCAGAGCTGACAGTTCTCATCAGTTCAGTTCAGTTTGAGATCATAAAAAGGTGTTCTGAGTGTTCAGGTACCATCTGGAAGGAATGTGTTGGTTTGTGGTCCAAATGGGTGTGGCAAGAGCTCGTTGTTCCGAATTCTTGGCGAGCTGTGGCCACTGTTTGGTGGACGGCTCACAAAACCAGCCAAAGGAAAGCTGTTCTACGTACCTCAAGTAAGCACTAAGATAACTATCAGCTGTTGAAATGGAACTCGTTGAAAGCCAAATAGTACAGGGGGAGGGCCCAAAAAAAGTCACTTTGACCGAGTCACATATCAGCAAAGTTTTCGCAGCCCAGACAGAGGACGTGGATACGAAGATACCCAAGATGTTCCTCGATAAGCAGGAGCTGGCTCTCGCCCATCACCTTCATGTACACCAAAATATGAAGTCATCTCCAGTCGCAGCCTGACTGGAGAAGACCTTTGGAATTCATGTCACCTTCAAACAGCTGCGAAACTTCTAGTGGAGTCACCCATGGATAGCTACCTGGAGACCAGTACTCTCGATCTGGAAGACCTCCAACATCGAGCAGCTCCGACAACGTCGCTACGGTCTAGGACATCATCTTCACCGCAGTCGCCAAGGCGCGGGTTGATGGTATGGACCGGACGTACCTGGAATGGAAAGACCAATATTTTCTTCGTGGACCCCGGACTGAAGGTGAGCGCTGGCGGTTACATTGAGCAACTCGTGAAGAATATCCTCCTCACATGTCGTCGCCCGTACCTTCTTGGAAACTTTGTACTGCTACAGCATTGGGTGCCACCACATGGAATCGAAGGGCGTTGGAGAAACTCTCGCCTACTTGGAATGGAAGGGGGCTGAGTACCTAAAGAAGATGGAATATCCAAGTAGGTCACCTGACCTAAATCTCACTCCAGATATCGGGTTCGGGTGGAGCTCAAAAAGTGTCTACAGGTAGCCGAGAATTCCAACTATCTGCGCTGAAGGCCAGGTACGACCATGGTTTGGCGTGCAAGAATCTGCTCGACGGCGCTGCCTCAGAGCGCTGGCGGCGGAGTACGCCGGTGATAGTATTTGATAATGCTCTTCAATTTAGTTGTAACAAGTCCGGATCACAATTCATGTAACGGGTATAACGCGTCCGAAAAGTCATAGAAGGAAAGTGAGTTGTTTTTTAGCGCCCAGGACCTCCCTGCTCCCCTCCGAGGATGGTTCTTCCCAGGTGCAAGGTGAATGAGTTCGTAGCTGCAGTAACGTGCCACTTTCTCCCCACAGAAGTGAACAGGAACAGGACTGAAGACTGAAGGGTAGGGACACCCGGCTGCTGTCTCTATACTCCGCATCATGCGCTACCTCAATGTGCAGCACTTGCGTTGATGCCAAGGTCCCTCAACGGAACATGTACCCAGCGGTAGACTGAGAGAGCGCGGCCAAGTATACTTGCTATGGTTGGCCCGTGTGGCAAGGTGTGGGCGGACTGCGGGAGAGGAAGCAAGCGGTATATCACATTTTCCAGCCCTATTTCTACTGAATAGCTATTATGAGCGGCAGAATGTGGCTCACTACTGCAGCAGTGGACCTACACCCCACTTATAGCTAGGACAGGGATCCACGGAGGTAGGTGTACATTACTGGTTTCTCAACATAGAACTGTTAAGTTTGCTCCTGGATTCCAGCTATTCCCTTGCACGGTTACCCTTTTTCCATGGAGAGCTGAACTTATGTGTAGATCCGAGCTTTGCACATCCTTCTAAAAGTCACAAATATGAAAATCTTGCGGCTTGGGCAGTTGCTTTTTCGTCAAACGAGTGATCCTGCATCAGGGAGCTGCTCACTCATTTAGAAAGGTGTAAGTTCGGCATCGGCAATCGCCTAGAACTCCTTGGGCTGGCGTTATACTTTGCGGCAGCGTAGCGTAGCGTAGCGTAGCGCTTCCAGCGTACGCCAGCGGCAGTGCCGAAGAGAGGATGCATATCGATCTAGCTTCACCAGCGGTGGCCGGCAGAGACGCGGAATCGATGTGTATAGTAGAGACTATGTGGCCGTCGGAGACGCAGAAGCGATGTGCATTGTAGAGACTAAGGGCGAGTGAGAGACGCGCAATCGATGTGTTTTGTACCCTCCAGCTCTCCCATAGTCTCTACTCCCCTGCCGCTGCAAACGCTAGCAAAACGCTGGTGAAACGCTGGAGAAACGCTGGCGTACGCTAGCGTGACGCTGGTGACGCTGGGAACGCTAGATCGATATGCATCCTCTCCCCGGCACTGCCGCTGGCGTACGCTGGAAGCGCTACGCTACGCTGCCGCAAAGTATAAACGCAGCCTTAAATGGGGATGGGGACTCTACCCCTCAAGGCGATTACAGCTCAGTAATAAAACTTTCTACCGCATCGTCAAAATCGGTGAGAGTGCCGTTTAATAACTTTCTGTTCATGATAATTTGCGCATATTTCAGCGCCCCTACATGACACTTGGAACTCTTCGTGATCAGGTCATTTATCCCGATCGAGCCAGCGACATGGGTCGAAAGGGTTTCACAGATCACGACCTTGAAGAAATGTTGGATAAGGTAGGTTTAGAACTGGTACTGAATACAAACCATTCGTATATTGGGTGAAACGTGCTCGACACAAGTAGGGACCTGCCACAGCCCTTGGTCAGGCGACAAGAATAAGTCAAATGTGCAAAACAAGTAAATAAACGAGTATCTTATCAAAAGCTGACCTGAAACTTTATTCTGCATTTGCTGTTATATGGAAGTGGCGCTGCGGGTGCATTAGCAAGCGTCTGGGTTGTTAAAAAGAACACATAATGACGATAACAACGGGCTTCGCGACTGAACTGCTGTGTAAGTTAAAGGCAGTTGGCACGATAAATCGCTATACAGATGTAGGATTTATACGACTGGCTTAACAGAATTCCGTGACCTCGGACAGGCGCTCCGTGGCGCCTTTTCCAAGGAGGGTACCCCTATAACGCCCTATCAAGCAACAACATTCCGTCCCAAACGCCTTCTTCGCCTGAGCAAATTATGAAGCAAAGGGATTGGTATGAAGCGGCCGTGATGCTGCATGCATATATGGGTACACATATGCAGCCGTATCTTCGGTAGCGGTGATTGGCAAGATGCGTACGGGAAACTCGTCCGAAATCGATTCAAGTCACTGAGAACGGAGGCTTTTTCTTCGCCGGATTTTGACCGTTTCACTCCGTTCTTTCGCCATTTCCCCACGCCCGCGCCCTACTAGCATTTTTGGCCGAGTGGGAAACCATCGTACCAACTGCCTTTAACGTAGAAGTGTGGAGAAATTAATCACGTACAGGGACATATAGAAATGGATTTTACTCTGCTCGAAAGAAGTTTCTGTATATTCTATGTCACAATTGCATCGAGAAAGCGTATCCACGCTCAGTCGTTGTAGGCGATTGTTGGTCAAGTCAGGGAGGGAGTTTAGTCGTTTCCTGTGCGGATGCTGGGCTTATCGGTGGTGCCGGATTGTGGTGCACGCCTGCCTGTTATCCACCAATTTTCGTTGCTTGCTCGCTTCAGTAATTGGTGGAAGTGATCCCGTACCAAACCCAGCCTCCACTCCCCACACACTTATTGTTAGCGAATTGCGACGATGAGCCACTCGTGATTTCACCTAGTTTGTTTCCTGAGTCGATGACTAACCGATCACAGCTGGTAGAAAAGGAAGTTGGAATCCCTCCACCGAGGGACATCATGCAACTTGGGTTGGGCCATAATTACACTTCGATCATGTGTATAAATCGAACTTCCGAGTGAAAGATTTCTTTGTTAAACTATTGGGCTTCTCCAAAAAACCAGAAGTATAAAAATATGCAGCACTGACTCATTTTTGAGTTATGCGTAGTGCAGAGTGATGAAAAGTGATAGATTACAAAAACTGAAGAACAAGTGCCATAGGTGACCTTTTGAGGTGCAATTGTCTCATATTCTGGTTCGCGAAAACGGTTGGGATGCGGTTCAAGATTGGATGGACGTGTTATCAGGTGGAGAAAAGCAACGAATTGCGGTACGTTTGTGGGAAATGGTTCTTTTCTCCGTTTACTTAGAATATTCATGCTAGTGGAGCAACTAGACGGTGCAACTGCCTTCACGCCTGTTGTTTTAATTGACTCTGTAGTCTTCACCATGGCGTGGACACTGCATTACTGTGCGAGGTGGGAGCTGATAGGGGGGGCTGTACTTTGTCTTATCAACTGCCGCGGTACTTTTTCAGCTTATTCACCTGTTCGCAACTGGTACGTTCCTTATCCCTGATACGGAGTAGGCGTGGCATTCGAACATGGCACAGAATAGGCTATTCTCGGGATGCTTCAGTTCGAGACAGCTATCGTCTTGCTGTGTTGGACAGAGACACGAGTACAATCATCTCAAAATGAAAATATCTCCCAGAAGCACAGCCACCGCCATGTTTTATTGAGGTACGCCACACCCACCTCATCCCAGGGATATCGAGTGTACTTCCTCTGCAACGCATTCTAGAAATTGGTGACGGATCAACAGATTACACGCAAATCAAATAATTTATGTCCTGCTGTCCCGTACGGCTGCTCTTATGGTTAGAGCACAAATGACATTCACTTTCTCTCCTTTGAGGTACATTGGTCCTGATCCAATCAGAGAGGTATTGCAGTTAGGCTGCGGGGTACCATATGCAATTTCTCTCCCGCTTCCGGCATAGGAATTCGAAGAACTAAATAGTGAATGGAGATGAAAGAGGTATTTTCTGCGTGGCCTATTCTATGAAGCGCAAGAGACAGGAAAGATGGTGCATGTGGTGAATCATTCGCGGAAATTACTACAGAGAATTCCGGTATAGGAATTTGAAGAACTACTATATAGTAAATGGAGATGAATGAGGTATTTCTCTACAATTACAGTAGTACAATTACTGCACAGAAATTCCTTTTTGCCCCGACGCTATACGCTTTGGCTACCAGCCAGCCATGCTGTACGGGGAATGAGAGAAATTGCAAGGAGGAGTGGGAATCCCACCGCTTGTCCTTACACTGGAGCCCAACTGAGAACCTCACCCTCCGTATAGCCCTGACTTAGCCCCTTTTGGTTACCATCTCCCCTGGTCTCTTGACCCTCCAAATGACCTTTCTTCGGCGCGGAACCGAAAAGCTTACCAGAAATATCCAACCACTCTTTGCCTGTTGGTTGGCAAAAAGTACCGGTGAAGATAGTGTACTGTTGATTGATATTGCTGGCTGGTGGAATAAATTCGGTGCAAAAAAAAGACGTGGAAATGTCACGAATTTTTATTATACACTATTGCAATGCCGTGATGCTCACTATTCCCAGAACTCATCCGTTTTCGACGGTTTCCAATTGGGATGCAATGGTTTCTCCCATCAAAGAGGAACAGATTCCCACTTCGTACTGTTGTTGCTTTCAGATGGCACGACTTTTCTACCACAAGCCGCAATTCGCTATTCTTGACGAATGCACTTCAGCTGTTAGCGTAGATGTAGAAGGTAAGAAATTTCAATAACTCCGAAGTTTCTGCGTATTTCCGGGCCATACATCCTATACCAATTATGAATCCTAAGGATACTTGAACTGTGTTTGTCGCAAGAATCGAGAATTTCTGAATACACTCATGTCAGAATGTTGGAGTTGTAAGAAAATTTCGTAGAAATCAGATGATAAAGTCTAACGTTTTTTTGCTGGCTATCTGCTCATCCTGAGGCGAGCTGGTGTAGTGGCAAGTGGACGCCTACCACGTGCGCGATCCGGTGGTCAGGGCCAACCAGGACTTCTTCCCCTCCGGGGCGCTAAATTG